AGATTTCCTCATTCCCTCTCACCTTCCCCTGTTTCCCCTCCACTGTAAGAGACTTTCTTTTTTTTGGTGAGATAATTTACCCCATTCTACCTCTCCCTTTCTTCTCTGAGTATCATCCTCTCTCATCCCTTAATTTTATTCTCCAGATATGAACCCTTAATCTTCAATTCACCCTGTGCCCTCTGTCTATCTATCTATATATACATATAATTGTTTTCCTTCAACTACCCTAATACTGACAAAGTTCTCATGAGTGACAAAATATCATCTTTCCATGCAGGAATGTAAACAGTTCAATCCTAATAAGTCTCTTATGATTTCTCTTTCCTGTTTACCTCTTCATGTTCCCCTTGAGTCCTATATTTGAAAGTCAAATTTTCTATTCAGCTCTGGTCTTTTCATCAGGAATGCTTGAAAGTCCTCTATTTCACTGAATGACCATTTTTTCCCCCTGAAGGATTATACTCAGTTTTGCTGGGTAGGTGATTCTTGGTTGTAATCCTACCTCCTTTGCCCTCTGGAACATTATATCCCATGCCCTGCGGTCCTTTAATGTAGAAGCTGCTAAATCTTGCGTTATCCTGATTGTGTTTCCACAGTACTTGAACTGTTTCCTTCTGGCAGCTTGTAATATTTTCTCCTTGACCTGGGAACTCTGGAATTTGGCTACAATATTCCTAGGAATTTTCCTTTGGGGATCTCTTTCAGGAGGAGATCAGTGGATTCTTTCAATTTCTATTTTGCCCTCTGGTTCTACTATATCAGGGCAGTTTTCCTTGATAATTTCTTGAAAGATGATGTCTAGGCTTTCTTTTTTCATCATGGCTTTCAGACAGTCCAATAATTTTTAAATTCTCTGTCTTGGATCTATTTTCCAGATCAGTTGTTTTTCCAATGAGATATTTCACATTGTTTTCTAATTTTTCATTCTTTTGGATTTGTTTTACAGTGTCATGATTTCTCATAAAGTCACTAGCTTCCAATTGCTCTAAGGAAGTATTTTCTTCAGTAATCTTTTGGACTTCCTTTTCCATTTGGTCAATTTTTCTTTTTAGGGCATTTTTCTCCTCATTGGCTTTTTGGACCTCTTTTGCCATTTGGGTTAGGCTATTTTTTAAGGTGTTATTTTCTTCAGTATTTTTTTTGGGTCTCCTTTAGCAAGCTGTTGACTTGTTTTTCATGATTTTCTTGCATCACTCTCATTACTCCTCCCAGTTTTTCCTCTACTTCCCTTACTTGCTTCTCAAAATCCCTTTTGAGCTCTTCCAAGGCCTGGGACTGATTCATATTTTTCTTGGAGGCTTTGGATGTAGGAGCTTTGACTTTGTTGTCTTCTTCTGGTTGTATATTTTCATCTTCTTTGTCACCAAGGTAAGATAATATAGTCTGACTCTTTTTGCGCTGCTTGCTCATGATCCCGGCCAATTACTTGAGTTTTAAACTCTTTGTTAAGGTAAGAGTCTGCTTCCAATGTGGAAAGAGTACTGTCCCAAGCTTCAGCGTTTTGTATAGCTGTTTTCAGAGATACTTGTAGGGCCCTGTAAATTTTCAGTTCTTCCAAGGTGGTATGATAAGGGGGTGAGGTGTTTACTCCTTTCCTGGCCTGTGACCACAAGTACTCCTTTCTGTCCTGTAACTGTGAGAAGGGGTTCCTCTCTACAGCCACTACAAGCTCCACCATGACAGTGCTCCTCCTCACCCCAGCACCGCCGCCCAGAACTGTGACCCAGATCCACACATGGGCAAAGCAAGAGATTCCTGCCTCAGCACTGGCAAAGAGATCCCTGCAATCCCTGTCTGATCAGCCACTGGATTCCCCCTCAGTCTGTGGGCCAGAAGCTTGGGAAGCAGCTGCCCCTCCCAGGACCATGCTCTTGGGGAATGGAGCTGAAACCCTGCCTTCCCCTGTGAGCACCAATAGAAACAGACCTTTCCCACTGACCTTCTAAGTTGTCTTTGGCATTTGTGGATTGAGGAGTCTGGAAACCTCCACAACTGCCCGTGATTCAGTCCTGTGAGGCCTGCTCCAGGTTTGCTGCGGCCTGCGCGCCCACACTGCGCTGCGCTCCCAGCCTGGTGCGATACACCTTTCTGATCAATCATCCAGGTTGTCTTGGGCTGGAAATTCATTTCACTCTGTCTTTTTGTGGGTTCTGCTGCTTCAGAATTTGTTTAGAGACATTTTTTATGAGTATTTGGAGGGGTTTGGGGGAGAGCTCAAGCAAGTCACTGCTTTCATTCTGCCATCTTGGCTTTGCCCCCCCTGATCATGCTATTTGATATAAATAGCATATACCAGATTAATCTTTGGTACATGCTAAAATTATAAAGAGGAGAAGTAAATAATACCACTGTTGCCACAATTGTTTTATGTGCTGAATTAATAAATATCCATGTACAACTCACAAAAACTGAACGTGGTTTTTTAAGAGAGATTTCAGTTTCAGTTTCATCACACATCTGTAAAGTTTGGCTATTTCTGATTACTCTTTTACAACACCACTCACATCATTTACTTGCTCAAAAATCTTCAACCGCCCCCTCTTACCTACAGGTTAAAGTTCAAACTCCTTAGCTTTTCCTTACAGGCTTTCCAAGGTTTGAGTCAACCTTATCTCCCATTATTCTCCCATATAAAAACATCACTCTGGATAAAATGTCTTCGAATATCCCTTGAGCTTTTGGTGTATTTGGATTATCCTTCCCATTTGAAATTTCATCTTCCTTCCTCTTCTACTATCAAATCCTACCCATCCTAAAAGTCCCAACCTAAATCTTACTTCTTCCATTAAACATTTTTCACCACACCAGGTAGCAGTAATCTTGCTCTACTCAAACAGTCAATTGAAAAGTATATATTAAATATCTGTTTTATGTCAGGCACTGTGATGAATGCTAGAGATACAAAGACCAAAAAAAATACTGTCTTCAAGGAGTCTAACTACAGTTGATACCTCTGTGTGTGTGTATACATATATATGAATAGGTATAGATATATACACGTATCTACATAGATGCCAATATCACTATAGATAGTAAGATATGTGCAAAATCAGTACAAGATGATTTTGTGGGGAAGGCAAAAAAAGCTGAGGAAATCAGAAAATGCTTCATGTTGAATGTGGCTTTTGAATTAAGTCTTGACCACTTTATTTGGCACTTACCATTTACTGACAATTTCTCATTGGTTCATATATAATCTCTTCAATTAGATCAAAAGTTCTTAAGAGTAAGGGTCCGTGTCTTATACTTCTTTGGATCCCAATTGATAGTACCTACCTCAGAACATTTTAGGTGCTGAATAAATGCTGAATGATTAAATAATCATACAATCTTAAAAGATAATATTTGGGTCTAGATGAAAATCAAAAATGCCACTCAGTCATGAAAAAAATAAGTTGATACATGAAAAATAAACCACAGTCACAAAATTAATGTTACTATCAGCCCAATGTTCATTAAAGGAAAAGTATTTATTAAAAAAGCAAATATTAAAAACTTCTGGCATGGTACCTAAATATAACTTGTATTCTAACCTTAGCAGGGAGAAGGAAGCAAGCTGTTTTCTTGAGAGAAGCAACTCTTTCACATCATTAGAGGCTCTTTTAAGTATTTTTTACTCCAATATATCACCACATACTACAAAAAAAAATTAGTGCCCTTATAAAAGTAAAATACATCTAGGAACATCAAAATTTTTTTCCAACTTCAATTATAATTACTAATTTATCTAAGTTTGGAGCAAGTTGTTAGTCCCAAATTTTCTAAGAGTTCATGCATGCAAGTTAATTAATTTTTTAAAAAAATTTTAAAACTGAAAATCTCAGGATGGCTGCATATTGGAAGGCTAGTCTGAATTCCTTTCTCACTGGAAGATCTGGCAATGATTTCATTAATTTCATCAGTACAGAAATTAAAACAGGATAATTCAGTTTTCAAATTCAAAGGCTTCTAAAAAAGGGCATGAAAGAGGACTATTCAAGCATTGGAAAATCAGTCTGAAATTTCTTTTTTTAATACTCTCAGAGACAGAGCTTTTTAAACTGCTTGAAACAGTGAAACCATGGTTCTTAATTGCTGAATATCATGGGACACATGTCCACTGGACATTTTTCTATGTAAAAATGAATTCCTACCTCCGATCTCAGCAGTTTTCCTCCAACATGCTGCTTAAGCAGATACTAATGGGAAGATCTTCTGCTGTCTAATAGCTTCAGTTTTAACAGGAGCACTGAATAGAAGTAGAAACTGGCATCATCTATACCTATTATTAAATAGCAACAACAACCACAACAGACAGGAACTAATGCAATAAAGTCTCTTAGTGAGCAACAGACCTGGCGTGGGTCTTTCTGAATTTGAAGATTCTTTTAAAACTTAAAGGCCAACTACAACCTCATAATTTGTAGCCCCACATATTTCTATATTCTATCTCACGTATGGGGCTAGGAACAAAAAATGTTGCATTGAGAAAAATATATTAACGTGTACAGATTTATCATCATATGGGAAAAAAGCCTCTGGTTTGCAAGTTCAGAATTTATCTCCAAAATGGACTAGTCTACAGAACATTTTAAAAGCCTGTAATATTCAACAGAAAATTTATTTCATTTTATTTTCCTTTCCGACCATTTTTACATTGTGCTGAAATAAGCAATAAAATTACGTTTATCAATTTCATTCAGTTTACAGCTGATATGATATGCCAACAGAGCAATAAAGGGCATTTCCATCCAGTTATTAAATTAAAAGTACTTCCAAGAGTCTTGTTTTTCTTTAAATCTTTTTTAGAATAATGCTCACAATTCTTTTCATATCTGATTTTGTTCATTCAGGATTCAAGAATGACCTTTCTAATTAATTAAATATTATCAGACCCAGATTATTATACCATTTGTGTATAGTCAGTATACCTATATATCTATATCTACATGTGTGTATATATATGTATGTGTAAACAAATAAGAAGACAATCAACCATTTTCCATAACTAATCATACCTGAAGAGAGATTCTCTCGACAGCCAAATTTCATTCTGTTTCACTGTTTTGCAGAAGAAAAGCAGCAGAAGCAATAAAGTAGACATCATCAAGGTAGTGGCACCACATCGATTTAACGCCGTATAGAGCTTATTTAAACCATGGACAAAAAGTATGCAGTAGCCCATGCTGAAAAGAGAGAATGAAAAAAGTACTGAATCCCATAATCATGATTATTTTTTTCAATTATCAAGCATTTATTTTTTTCTCCTGCCTACCTCCTTCCTGCATCTGGAAGAGAAAATAAAACCTTATAACCCAAAAACTCAGTAAAGCAAAATAAATTCCCACATTGGTGTGTGTTTCATTCTGTATATCAGACCATAATCTTTTTGTCAGGAAGTATGCAGCCTTCTTCTTTACTGGTCCTCTGGAATCTCAGGGGTTTTTTTACAGTGTTGTTATCATAATATAAATTATTTTCCTGGTTCTTCTTGATTCACTGCATCAATTACTATAGGTCCTCCCAAGTTTCACTGATACCATCCTTTTCATCATTTCTTAAAGCAAAAGAGTACTCTATTCCATTCATATACCACAATTTGTTCAGTCAGCCCCAGTGGAGGGGTACCTTTTTAGTTTCCAATTCTCTGTCACCACAAATAAGGGTTAAGGCTCCAGGTAGCCACTGGGGAAGCTTCCTAGTCACTGTGAAAAAAAGAATATAATTGAAAGACTTAAGATCTCTGATCAATGCAATGAGTGACCCTGACTCCAGAGCAGTGGTGATGAAGAGTATTGCTTATCACCAGACGAAGAGGTGTTAGACTAAAAATACAGAATAAGACATATTCTTCGACATGGCCAATGAGGAATTTTTTAATGTATGGCTATGCATATTTGTCACAAGAGCTTCTATTTATTTGTTAATTTTCATGGGAAGCTGAGAGAAAGAAAAAAATAAATTCCTGCTAATTGAAAAAAAAATTAAAAAATAAAAGGATTTTTTTTACAGAAAAAAAGAAATACAAACGATGATTTATACTGATTTGAAATACTTACTGAACTATTTCTTGGTATAAAAGCACCATCAAATTTTCAGATAGTGAAATAAACCCTTTCCCCTTCTACTATCGAGAATAACACTATTCTCCAAACCCTTAGGCTTACAACCTAGGAGTCATCCTTAATTTCTCATTATCTCTCACACCGCCCCCCCCACATTCAAAGCATCTAGATCTGTCTATTTCATCTTTGCAACATCTCTCAAATACGCCTCCTTCTCTCCTCTGACCTTGCCCACTCCAGTGCAAGCCCTAATCACCTCACACTTCCTGCCTCAAGTTTTTCTCCATTTCAAGCTATCCTTCTTTCAGTTACTAAAACGATTTTCCTAAAATGCAGGCACCAATCACATCACCCTTCCTACGGAACAAACTCAAGTGGCTTCCTATTGTTTTCAGGAGCAAATACAAAATGCTGTTTGGCATTCAAAGCCCTTCATAACCTAGCCCCTTCCTACCTTTCCAGTTCTCTGACATTTTACTTCTCAATGCCTAATCTTTTATGCAGTGACACTGGCTTCCCAGCTGTTCTACAAGCAGGACACTCCATCTCTCAGTTCTGGGCATTTGATTGATTGGTTGAAATTACCCGTTTCTATACTTCAACTAAATTCTTCATGTGGTTTATATTTTACTAGGCCTATGATTTCCCTAACGTACTGAACTCCCAGTGAAAAAAGTACTCGCATTCATGCAGATCAGCATCTACTCTTTTCTTTAGACTCTTAAAGAGTTTAAGTGCAGGGCAGCCAGGCCTAGTGCGGGGCTACTAGGTGGCACAGCCAATAGAGTACCAGCCCTGAAGTCAGAAGGACCTGAGTTCAAATCTGGCTTCAGACCAAACACTTGACTCCTACTAGCTGTGTGAAGCTGGGCAAGTCACTTAACCCCAATTGCCTAAAAAAAAAAAAATTTTTAAAAAGAGTTTAAGCGTGATAGAAGAAAGAAGGCTTTTAGCTTAGCACATTCATCCCTCTTTGTCAATACGGATCTAAAGAATGCAATAAATGCAATACATTGAATTCTGATTAGGAAAAGCAAAAAGAAGTTACAGTGAATTATTTTTTCAGCCAGGGTGGCTTAAGGAGACAGAGGTCTGTGGGCACTGGAAAAAGAGTCTGACCAGAAGAATATCATGGCAGCAGAAGTGGGGAGCAGCGCAATGCCCAGGGATGGAAAGAAGGCCAAGACAGGGCTCTAGGACAAGAAGCACTGGGGCAGGAAAAGATCTCAGGAGATCTATAAATAAGTGCTGGGTGCAGGAATGGGTGCCATCTAGCAGCTGTGCATTCCCTATCAAGTTCCAAGTCACAGATCCACACTGGAGAAAAGTGGTTATGAGTGTGGGCCCAAGTTGTTTACTGAGCACAAAAGTTAAAGGAAGGAAACTGTACCCCTGATCCCAGGAACATAATATTTCTCTAGACCAAAGGAGACCCAGAAATTCCGGCTCTGAACCTGCAAAGCTTCTCAGAGAACCAACAGAGGCTTGGTTAAGAAGTCTACTTAAACACCCAAGCAAAAAGAAGCCAATAGACCAAAACCTGGGTCAAGAAACTGCAATAGAGCAGTGAAGAGACCTATCTTCAAATAACAACACTTCGGCTGAACTGAAACCTTGAAGGCTCCTAGGCAGAGCTGTGAAAATAGCAAAAGATGTAAAGGACAGAAGCTCAGGCTTCTTCCACAGAGCCATAGTTCACCTGTCAGGTCGATGATAGTTTACCTGTCAGATCTATGGAGAAGGGAAGAATTTTTGACCAAGCAAGAGATAGAGAACATTATGAAATGCAAAATGGATAATGTTGATTATATTAAATGAAAAGGATATTGTACAAACAAAGCCAATGCAACCAAGATTAGAAGGGAGGCAGAAAGCTGGGAAACAATTTTTACAGCCAGTGTCTTTGATAAAGAGCTCATTTCTAAAATACACAGAGAAGTGAGTCAAATTTATAAGAATACAAGTCATTCCCCAATTGATAAATGGTCCAAGGATATGAACAGATAGTTTGCAGAAGAAGAAATCCATATTAAACCAATGAGACAGTGACTTACCTGCCCTCAAAGATGTAAAATGATGCTTCCATTTGTATGACAGGAAATTAATGATTCAGAACACTTTCGTTTCAGATCCTTTTTAAATTAAACATGTCCTTAAAAATTGGGGATTACGTGATTGAATAATTTCCTTCTTTATTTTCAAATTCCTCATTTCTCACAAATTTATTCAGATGCATTTTTCATTTCTCTCTCTCTCCAAATCTATTTTATCCAAATTCTTCCCACATATTTTTTATTCTTTCATGGACCCCTCCTGAAAATAACACATTGTTTCTATCTTCCTTAATTAATTCCTGTTTTTCTACAACTTCAACTTATTCAAGGTATCTTAAAACAGCATAGGAATTTGTTCTTTGACACTAATATGAATAAATCACCCTTCATCTTGCACAGCTAGGAGCCATCAAGACCCACTATTACTTTTATTTGGAAGCTTTTGCTTGCTGTTTCCACCTTATCAATGTGACAGCATTTTAGAGTCACGTGAAATACACTATGGGGAGATTTTATGCTGAAATAAAAATTCCATTAAAAAAAAAGCTATGAAACAACATGCTACTCTTGTCACAAAATAGCCCACCATTTTTGTAAAAGAATGATCTTCAGAAAGGTCATTTATGAAACTGCTAGTCTCCCTCTTGAAGAAAAGATTGTTCCAACTTGTTCTGGTAATGAAATTGATCCCCAAAGTCATGCCAGTCTGAACACATACCTATATATCATATAAACAGAAATTTCCAGCCTCATGGTCTCTTTCATTAACAGATTTCAAAGTACAATTCAGGGAAAGTTGGAATTTTGAGTCTCTATTTTTCCTTACTGGAATGGAGGAAACATAGGAACTTATGAGTATTAAGTAACTTCTTTAGGATCAAACATTAAAGCAAGGGAGTAAAATGGTACTAATAGTATCTAACTAATATTTCTGGGATTATCTGAAGACTACTGATACTCATGTATTTCATGGGTACTTAGCACAGTGTCTGGCACAAAGGAGGCACTTAAGAAATACTTACGGTCTTGACATCAACAGATTATTTTGAACCATGTGCTATATTTTAGGCTTCTTTTTTGTTTCCAGGTAAGAATCTATGGGCATCATTTTGTCACACATTAAGCTTAAGAAAGTTTAACTGAGTAGAAAGTTCATCTTTCTTAATACTATTACCAATTGATGATCTTTATTCAGTTATCCCCACTCTCCTCTAGAATCTTTAGGACAAGTACAGGTATACACAAAGATGGCAAAGAATGCAACAATATTGAGAGAAATGCTGCTGTAAAACTGCCTAGCAAGATCTAAGGGGATAGGTTTAGAGGTAAGGGGATCAGAAGGGTTTTACACAAAGCAAGAAGGGGTTGAAATAATCAGAACTTAAAAACAGATCTAAGATTCTTCTGAGGTGTGGGAAAAGACTTAAAAGATCATAAGATCAGAGTATTTTGTTGTTCAGTCATTTCACTCTGTTCAGACTCTTTGTGACCTCATTTGGAGTTTTCTGGGCAAAGATACTGGAGTGATTTGCCATTTCCTTCTCCAGCTCATTTTACAGATGAGGAACTGAGGTAAACTGAGGCAAAAGTGACTTGGCCCGGGTCACACAGCTAGTAAGCATCTGAGGAGATCTGAACTCATGAAGATGAATCTTCCTGATCCCAGGCAAGATCCCAAATCTATGATCCCATTTTTATTATTTTTTTATCTTTAAAAAAATTCCATGTTATTCTGAACTTGACCAAAGCCAACATATATAAACATTTTCTTATGCAAAGAACTTATCACATGAAACCACAGATCTTCATTATCTATGGCTTGCTTTTATAATTGGTACATTCAGAATATTAATTTCAAAGCTCTGCCACTCATCTGTGTTCCCCTCTGAACTTCCTCCTGTTCTTTATAATTTTTAAATGCTCCATTGATATTCGTGATTTTTTATATTTTATTTGTAATGCTTCACTCATAGTCTTATATTCTTTTCCCCTTGCCTTACTATCATAGTTAAGTAGCATACTCACAGAGTGCTGGATGCAGACCCACATCTGAATTCAAATCCTGCA